AGCATTCTGGCCTCTGCAAGTTGAGATCCATCACATGTTGCAACCAGACAGTTGCATATGAAAAGCAAAGTCCTCATCGAAGTCCAGGACTTTCATGTTTGCTTCAAGCCACAATTAAATGTTTTCAGCATCTAAAGGCAAACAGATCAAGCTGAGCACACTACAGCTTTTTACAAGAAATACACCTTTCTAATGTGCAATCTCAGTAGCCTTCTTCCAAACTCTTCAAGATGGGCACCTGCAATGAAGTCCAGATTCATGTCATCCCTGCCTTTTGCATTGATCATAGCTGCCAAACTGTTCCCTTGATGGTGACCAGCTGCTGTGTCACAGCACAGTTAGGCCAGGGTGTCAATGTTAGACAAAACACTTGGTGATTAGCACAATGAGTGTCCACAGCTAGGACCTGAGATGATGTTATAACGTATATAAAGAATAATCCTACCAGTCTCCTTTTCAAATCCCCAGTTATAAAATACCACAGACCATAAATGCAGTGACTTTCAAAATCCCACAAATGTCTCTGGCAAAGCACAGAACTGGACTGTGGTCTCCCATCTGTTGCAGTAACCAAACCATCATTGGTTTTCATTTCTAGTCAGAAAATGGAGGGTGTTCTCCGGAGGAAGTATCTGCAACATTAGGGGCTGATGACTGGGTCATTGAAAACTAGGCTGTTCTTTAAAAGCAAAGATCTAAGAAACCCACATCAGAATAATCAGAGTGAAATCAGAGAAGAATGTTAGCTCGTGCTATAAACAAGCAAGCAACTGTGGCCAAACAGCCATAGTTGTTTGTCCTACACTAGAAAAAATATTTACAAACTTTGGCAATAAAATCAAAGCTGACAATGGTCATCTGCTTCAGGGTCAAACCTTCCATTGGGTTTTGTGGCATTTTGTTCTATATCAAAATATAACTCTACCACAGTTTCTAATGACTGGACTACTTGAGAGGTCTATGTAGAACCTAAGGGAATAAAGCCACTAAAATTACCTTTTTTGGGGGGAAACAGACTTTTTCTTCTTCTCTGTTTTACATATTATACTGTGTAGGCTACATAAATTTCAACCCCTGTACCAGAGGTTATGTTCTCTGAGCATTGCCCATAATGGAAATATTTCTAAGTGTATGAATTAGTTCTGCCTAACCTTTATCAGAAAGCCTCTTCTGTTACAGTTTTGGTTTTAGCCCCTTAGGAAAAGTTACAAAGTCCTCAGTATAAAAAATGTAAAATAATAAGCATTGAACCAATTCTGGCACCAGCACCAGTCAGTGGGACGAATGAGCACTTGATTCAAGGCCCCAATAAGTGCTGACATGTTTACAAACCCTACTTTATTAGTTAACTTACTGGGAATTTGGCAGTAGGGAAGTCTGAATCTGTTCAAGACTAAAAAAGGAGTACATTTCTATCCTCATCTCCTTTAAGACTGTAACTGTCACAGTCTGATTTTCCCATGAAATTGTACACACTGGAATATGAACTTAAAGGAGACAAGAACTCTTATCAGCAGCGTGGCACAACTCTTTGATACATCTGTGGGGGTTTCCACAGCCAAAACCACAGCTGTTCTCAGTTATTGGGAGCTGACTGGATCCCAGAGCAATGGGGTTTCCAACACTGAATGTCACCCTTAGGAGTCAGAAGGTGCAAGTGTAACAGAAGAGTGGTGGTGGCAGGACAGGGCAACCACAGGTTCTGCAGGGCTTTCTCATAACGCCGGGACAGCCCATGCAAGCCAGAAATGGGATTCTCCTATTTAGAAGCAGTAGAAATCAAGAATATAGATCTTACAAGTGGTACCATTCCTCCTGGAGAGGTTTTAATTGAAACCAAGCAGCTGTGCTTTTCGTGTGTAGGTGTGAGAAACTTACAGGGTCTAGGAAGTCGCTGTGAACTTCTCATTTACAGAAGAGAAAAAGCAAATGAACCTGCAACTCATTGATGGTGACACAGAATGAGTCTAAGAAGGATGCAGGTGCAGTGTTTACTTACTGGCAAACTCACTTCAGAAACTGTCAGAAATGGCCAAAGAAAAATCACCAGCACCCAAGACAGACTGTCGTTGCAGCAGGTTGATCACCAGGTGGGAAGGCTTCTCTTCTCTAGACCAGGCAGCAATGAGGAGAAGAGTAGTGATCAGGGATCCAGGGTGCCAGTGCCCAGAGATGGGAGCTGCCATCTGGGAACAGTTTGGAAAAAAGCAAAATTAATCATAAGAGGGCTTGCCAGTACCAGCTTCCAAGACACTCCACTCAGCTGCCCCTATTGCCCACAACAGATGTCAGAGCTCAGCATCTTGTGAGACCAGATCCTGTTTGAGCTCTCCATCACCCAGAAGGACAGGCAGGGCGTGAGAGGCAGGAGAGTTTTCTGAACCTGCTGCTCTCAGGCTGTGCTTGTACACAGTTGAGTCAGGCCCCAGGACTGCTCACAGCACTTTGGCCTGAATTCCTAGGTCAGCATAACAATCCTCTTAAAATTAAAAAAACTCCTTTGGCCTGTCAGTCATTACAAATTAATTTCTTGTTTTCCTTTGTTGTTATATATATAATTACTTGTAAAATAATGCAATTACTGTAAGGTAGGGACGTATGTGGGACAACTTCTCTCTTTGGCTCATTTTTCTTTATTTAAATAGAGTATGAAGTGCAGAGATCACTTCTGAATCTACTTCAGAAGACTCAGTCCACAGGCTGGGACTGGCTAACGTACTGGGTATATGACTTGTCTCATGAGTTCTTTCATGGGATTTAGACCTATTTTTATCCTTTCTTTTGTCTTTCTCACACTAAAGTAATGCAAGTGAACCCATCATTTGAAAAATAAAGTCTGGCAGAAGGAAAAGGTCTTAATAAAGGAGCTGCAGCTGCAGGGCTGGTTGAAATGTGGTGATGTGGATGCCAGCTGGCCGGTCTTCCCCTCACATAGGTCTGAATGAACAACCAAACTGCAAGCTCCACATCATACATCAATACTAGGTGACACCCAGGAAGGGTACAAAATTTCAGGTCAACAGCCTGGAGCTCCAAATGGAAATAGACAGTAAGGAAAGAAGGCAGTAAAAGCACTGACAAGGAATGAAAAGGAAGATTTAGAGAAGAAGAAAATATGTGTTACGCTATTAGCCAGAAATTATTTTAGCAAAATCACACTTCATTATTTTTTATGCATTTATTCCTCTTAAAAAGGATTTTTTTCAAATTCTCCTTCTCTCTAACTGTGAAATAAATTATGAATTGTGAGCAAGAGAAGCTGTATCACTCCCAGTGAGTCTAGTTACATTCAGTCCCAATGGACAGTACCATTCAAATGCTTTCTCTTCTGCCATTCAGGAAGAGTACTGCAAAGCATTCCCAGTCTGATCAGAAAGTCAGCCAACAGTGCCTGGGAAGTGTGAGTCAGTTCAAGAGAGGCAGGAGAAGCTGGCATGGGTTTGGCTTGTACACTTGTGGAGAAATGGGATGAAGATGAAAAATTTGCTTTGGCTGGTGGGCTCAGAAATTGAGAAAGGGGAGAAAGGCAGCTTGTAAGGGAACAAAGACCTAATGTGGGAGAACTGTGAGTTCCTTGCACATGGGCTGAAGAATTTGAGAAGACCTTTTTCAAACACTTCCAAGCACTAGAGTGAGCCTATCCCCACACTGGGACCAGCACCACATGCATACAATGTGCAGGGAGTGGTGGGCACGAAGCAGAGATGCAGGAGGAGTACATCTGCAACATGCTGAAGAGGGGCTTCAGTGAGAGGAGTGGAAGATCTATCACACCCCAGGAGTCACATCTCTGCTGGGCTTGCATTGACAAACTGAATCTTTTTCATGGCAGACTAGAATGAAGAGATGTCAAAATCAGTGAGTCTCAGGAGTCTGTGTCTCTGGCTGATGCCTCAGCAGAGAAGGCCACAGAAGCCCCTGACACTGACCATAAGGTTGAAGCTGAACATTTTCTGACCATCTGCCCTCACTATCCTTTCCCTTACGGCCAGAGCTGTACCTACTAACTGGTATGTATTCAAAATGGAGACCAAGGACACAATCCTGCCAGAATTCTGACAACCACATGTAGTCTGGCAATTGATAAAGGCAGAGGCAGGAATGAATTTCCCCCTAAGAGTTCTCTCTTTGATGTCCAGTATCTTCCCTCAACTGCTCTCTACACACCACAACTATTTCTTTGTTCCTTTTTCTTTCCTCTAGTCATTAATAGCCAATACTGCCAGCCCAGACCACTGTCTGGGCATCAGGAGCAGCTATCTGAAACCAGGGATGGGACTGCAGCCCTGTTTGAGCACTCCCGATGAAACACTGCATAGCACTTAGGGTCTGCACACCATGGTTTTGCCACAACCATCCTAAACTTTTCTGGTGGCTCTCCTTTTATTTTTTGCCTCATGAAGTCAGTCCTCTGGCTAAGCAAGTCATTTTTGTAACAGTAGGATTTATCCATAATTTAGGATAAGAACTTTCTAACCTGTTATAAGTGGAAGGGAAATCCAAAAACATAAGAATGCAAGAACAAGGACTGTTTTGTTAGAGGCTTCAAACTGAACTGGAAAATGGCTTTGATGAGAGGGGAATTTTTCTTGAGGTCAGACCATTGAATGCATATAACAACATGGAGAAATATGAGCTCTAAGTATGGGGTTTGATGAAGGAAATCCAAATGACAGGTTTTTGTGGAGCCTCCAGCTGCACTGATATGTCTCACTGCAGCTGTGTCAACAACACCCAGTGGCCAAGATGAGGATGTTGGGATCCTTCCTACTGGTTGTAAGCCAAAATGTTCTGAGCTGCCCTACTTCTGCTGTCAATATCAGCTGCGTGCTTCAATTAAGATTAAAAAAAAAGATGAAAATGTTTTTGCCTGATGTCAAGAATTCTCAGTTACACCAAAAAAAGTTCAGTCACACTGCAGACTGGTGAAAAGCTGCAGCAAGTCACTGGATGCCAAATGGAGAAGCAAGGAGGACCCATTAATGCCTGGAGGTCTGGGATAAAGGGATGGGGAGAACAGGGGATAATAAACCCTAAAGAGTAAAACTGTACTGGTTTTGCATAGTGTTCCTTAATTTTATTAAGTTTCTTAATTTATTTAAAAGAGGAGGGACAACACTTAATGCACCACTCATCAGTATACTTTTTCTCTGTAGAACCTAGAAAGGCCTTTGCAGATGCATGCAGGCTGATGAAGGTGGTGCCTGTCTTACACTTGATTCAAAGCTTGGCCAAGCCTTTTATATATCTGAACCACCATGGTCTAGGACTCAAAGGTGTCAAAGTCACTGTTAGTGTTATGGTAGTGAGTAGCCAGTTACAGTGGAGCCACTGTTCTCAAAAACAGTAGGAATTTTAGGTCTCTCTCAGGCCTGGAAGTCATCACTGAGTACACAGTGTGGGAGAAAAAGTCCTGTATCTTCCCCATGGGAACTCTGAGCATCCCTAATATTTCTAATCCTCTGCACAGGAAATGTTCTGTGTGGCAACTGATGGCCTTTCATGGAGTAACCCCAAGAGCAACCGATGCTCTTCCATGGGTCACAAGTCCTCAGTTCTCCTAACCCATACAGGGCCACAGATAGGGGTAGAGGGACTGGTATCCCACTCTGGGTTCTGCATAGATATGTGCTACACCCAACAATGGACAGGCCCAAGATGCCTGAATTGAAGCTAGGACCTGAACCTGGGTCTCCAGACTGGCACAAAGCAACAGAAAGTCCTACCCTCCAAGAAAAGAGCTCTTTTATGTGCAATTGCCACAGCCATGGCTCTGTCACATGCCCTGATCACAGTCTTGCTCAAGACCTGAAATGCTTCCTAAGGTTTGGAGGAAATGCCCAGCATCTGTTGAACTAAGAAAACTATCCTCTTTGTTAACTTTGCAGTAATGTTTTTGCATGTCTCTGTTTATCTTTTTGTCCTCCCAGTCCAACACAACCATCACCCATTTAGAGTTAGAAGAAAAGTGCATTTTGGTAGGAGCCATATGCACAGCAGAGATGCTATGAGAGAATCCCTCCCTTCAAGAACTGGTACCCCATCTGACATAGTTTGTGAGTCAAAATTATTGCTCATCAAGTTCATCATCTGAATTTTAACCAAATAGCGGCTGTTCCCATGCAAAAACATTCACATTCTGAAAATCATGATATTTTGTGCTGTGCTACTTTTAAAAAGTACAAGCTTCTGAAAAGCAGAAGTGTGTATGTAATGGCAGTCTGGTGAGTCTGGAAGTGCTATCTTCATTAGCAGATATAACAATAATTACCATAACTAAGTCTTTCCACTTTATGCTTAGCCAACGGAAAAAAAATATTTTGGTCAGGAACTTTCGTTCTCCAATATGAAATGGGGAAACTTTTCTAAATAAAGAGAATAATGCAAGACTTTCAGATATTAACTGGTAGGAATGTTCCTTTGATCTGAAACTGAGGTATCATGGCTGGGCTTCACGAACAAAGATTTGGGAAGGGCACTACCCACGTTTGTTACAAGCGCATTGGTGGCTAAAAAGGCCAATACGAGATAGGCACATCCGGTTGCAAAAGGCACAGCAGAAAGACTCCTTAGGTGGTATATTCTGCAAGGCACGATTCTTTCTGCGTTGTCTTGTCTCCTCAAGGGTGATCCTGTGTGCTTTCTCAAAAGCATCAGCAGCGTTATAGATAGTGTGTCTCCAGGCCCCCCAGTTGGAGGCCAGAGTAGACCAGTTATGTTGATCAATGTGGCCAAGGCTGAGATGTTGTTTCAGGGAGTCCTTGTATCTTCTCTTCGGGGCTCCTCTCTTCCAGCAGCCGGTGCCAAGTTCACCATAAAGCAAGATCTTAGGGAGGCGGTGGTCCTTCATCCTTGAGACGTGCCCTGCCCAGCGCAACTGTGTTCTCAGCAACATGGCCTCAATACTTGTGACTGCTGCCTGTTCTAGAACAGATGTATTGGTCACATAATCTGACCAGTGGATGTTTAGGATTGTACGGAGACAGAGTTGATGGAAGCGTTCTAGGAGTCGCAGGTGGTGGCAGTAGATGACCCATGATTCGGATCCGTATAAGAGAGTAGACAGCACAATGGCTCTGTAAACACTGATCTTGGTACTTTTCTTCAGGTGTTTATTTTGCTAAACTCTTTTATGAAGCTTTCTGAAGGCACTATATGCCTTTGCTAACCTGTTGTCTATCTGTCCGTCAATCTTAACTGTCCGAGGAGATGAGGCTACCTAGGTAATTAAACTGCTGGACTGATTTGAGCTCTGATTTGCCAATGGTGATATGGGGATGATGGAAGACTTCCTGAGGTGCAGGTTGATAGAGAACTTCTGTCTTCTTTAAGCTGACTTCCAGCCCAAAGAGCTCAGCAGCGTCTGCAAAGCAGGATGTTAAACGCTGCAGAGCTGCTTCTGTGTGGGCGACAAGGGCAGCGTCATCAGCATAAAGCAGCTCCCGGACAAGGTGATTTAAGGTCTTAGTGTGGGCCTTCAGTCGCCTGAGGTTGAATAGACTTCCATCGATACGGTATCGAATGTAGATACCGTCCCGATCATCGAGGTCTGCCGTGGCCCTTTGGAGCATCATGCTGAAAAAGATTGTGAATAGGGTTGGTGCAAGAACGCAGCCTTGTTTCACACCATTCTTAATTAAAAAGGGCTCAGAAAGTGCATTGCCATATCTGACTAGTCCATGCTGATCCTTGTGGAGTGAGATGATCATTTTAGGGAACTTGGGGGGGACAACCTAAACGTTCCAAAATCTGCCATAGACCTTTTCTGCTCACAGTATCGAAAGCCTTGGTGAGGTCAACAAAGGTTACATAGAGACCTTTGTTCTGTTCCCTACATTTCTCTTGCAGTTATCTGAGAACAAATACCATGTCTGTGGTACTCCCGTTGGCTCTGAAACCACATTGGCTTTCAGGTAGAATTCCTTCTGCTATGGCGGGTATTAGTCTGTTCAAGAGTATTCTTGCCAGGATTTTGCCAGCAATGGAGAGCAGAGTAATACCATGGTAATTTGAGCAGTCTGATTTAGTACCTTTCTTCTTATACAAGGTGATGATGACTGCATCACAAAGGCCTGATGGTAGTTTGCCTAGTTCCCAACAGCGCACCACAAACTTGTGAAATTTAGCATGGAGTGCAAGGCCCTCATGTTTCCAGACTTTGGGTGGAATTCCATCAACTCCAGCTGCTTTGCCAGTTTTCACCTGCTGAATGGCCTTGAGGGTTTTTCCTAAAGTGGGGGTGGTATCCATTTCGTACTTCACCGGTTGTTGAAACTTAGATAATTACTGGAGCACCTCCCACATCTTAGGGTAATTCTACACTATGGAGCAAAGTAAAATAATGACTAACTTCTCTATTGGGTCTGGCTGAGACGGAGTTAGTTTTCCCCATTGCAGTCCTCATAGTGATCTGTATTGGTAGCTAGAAAGGTGTTGATAAACACAGCAGAGTTTTGGCTCTGCACTGTCTCTCCAACATCCCCCCTCACCATTAGGCTGAGGGTGGGCAAGATCTTGGAAGGGTACATAGCCAGGACAGCTGATCCAACCTGACCAAAGGGATATTCCATACCACATGGCATCTCCTCAGCACTAAAAGCTAAGAGAAAGGCACGGGAGGGAGAAGTGGGGACAGCAAGTGGCAGCACATTTATTATTACATTTGTCTTCCAGAGCAACCACTATGTGTATTGAAGCCTGACTTCACAGGAAGTGACTGGACATCACCTGCTGATGGGAAATAGACAATAAATCTTTTCCCTTGCTTCAGTGTATGGTCTTTTCTTTTACTTTATTAAACTGCCTTTATCTTGGCCTACAAGATAGTTTTTTTCTATGTTATTTTCTCCCTCCTGTCCTGCTTAGGAGGGGAGTGACAAAGTGTCTTGGTGAGCACCTGGTGTCCAGCTAAAGTCAACCCACCACAACTTCTTACAGCCAGATATGGACTGTGATGAACTGGAGATTCTACCTAAAAGCACAACTTTCTGCAGACCCCAACACAGCACCAAGGGATAGATCAGTGCATTGTTAACATACTTTTTTTACCCCAGGATACAACTTTGGAGAAGAGATTGCACCATACTTTGCTTAGGCATTAATGGCGAGTTACCTGAAATCCAAGGTCATTTGCACCCCTGGCTGTGTAACAGACCCTTCTCATCTTGAAGCTGCTACTCACTTGGCATGATTTCACTTGGCAATGCCCACATGATTTCCTGGCATAATTCCGCTAAGTGCCTCTCGCTTAGTTCAGAAATAAGAGAGGTCGGTAGGACACAGAGCTGGATGAACTGCACCAACATTTTTTCAAGACAGCTGCATGTGTCTGTCTGAGAAACAAATGTTCAGAACTCTGTAAGATAACCCAACTTCATAAAATTTTGCATTTCTTCAGTAAAAATAAGAGGATTGACTTCTCTGGTTAGTTTCTGTCTCAAAGCCTCTGCATTGTTTGGCAGCTTCAGCAGCTGCCCTGAAGCAAGGCCTTGCTCTGATATTAGAAAGGGCTCTTGGTAAAGGTACAATGGTGGGAGTGGAACAGGGACAGGAAAATTACAGGACGTGTACCAGGCCACACATGAGCTGTGTGAGAGAAGTTTGCACAACACAAAATTCCATTGCTTTTGCTGGTTTAGGAAGATAATCACTGTGATGTTATATGTCTGTTTTGGGACACGCAGTGCCACAATCTCTGTGCTGCTGATGTCCCATTCACTGAAGATTTCAGTGTTCTGATATTCCTCTTTTTCATCTTCATTTGGGGGCCTTGGTATGGCATCTGGTTGCAGCTGGCTTGAAGATCACATTGTCTCTGTATACTTGTCTCTCTGCAGGGCAATTACCAAGTGAAGGAGCTGAACCTTAGCCACAAGGAGTTCTCTGAGAAAGGAGGACTTCTCCTAGGATAGATGCTTGGAAACTTAATTTATTACTCCTGCAAAACCAGGATGTCATGGTTTAGGAACAGCACTCCAAACCACAAGCCGGTCCTCTCCCCCACTCCAGAGACAAAAGGCAGAGATGATGGGTTGAGATAAAAACAATTTACTGGAAACAGCAATGAGATAAGAAAATGAACAGTAACAACAACAATATTAATAACAAAACTATACCAAAAAAGTATGATTTACATGCAGAAAATGCTCACTGATCAACTCCAGGATAACAACCACCAGATCCTCCATAGCTAAGCTTTTCCCTGACTGCAAGCCACATCCACCTTCTCAGAAGCAAGATTTCCTTACTTCCGCCCCAGCAGTGAGGTGAGGTGTATAGAATAACAACCTGGACAAGAGATATGCCTCCAGGGTCTGACCCCTCACAGCTACTGTGGAAAAATTGATTCTGTCCTGGCCAAAAACCAGGACACAGGAGTACAGGCACTGGGGGACTTGATGGAACATGTATTTCCTTCTCTAACAAAAATGCCTCATGACCTGGTTCGTACTACAAAAGCCAGGGCACCCAGATTCAGAGCTTCCTGGATAGTCCACAGACTCACCCTCATCACCACAGGTGACTCTAGCAACAATGACTAATGTATGAGAACACACATGCAGGATGAGAAAACACAGTGACAGAGCGGTCTGTCAGAGAGAAAGGAGATGAAAACCAAGTCCCTCAGGGTGTATAAGGCAGAAAATTGCACTCTACTAAAATCTCATAGAATCAGAACTGTTGTTCATTGTAAGCTTCCGATTACAAAGTTCAGGAGCTATTTCAGTTTTTCTTAAGTAGCCCAAACCCTAACGGTTTTAGCCATTGCACAGTAAACAGCAAGAGAAACAGATTAGGAAGGAATAAAATTAAGATGCCTAATCTGTCTGTTCAGACAAAGTGACATCCAGACTGTGCTAGTAGCCCTTGAAAGGGAAAGCAAACAAAGCAGTATTTCAGTAATCTCAGGTGCTATTACTACACTGTAAAAGACTTGCATGAATATCTGAGGGTTCTTCTTTCCCCAGTATGTTCAACACACCTGCTACCATAAAGGCCACAAGCATGTGCTGTGAGCATCCAGTGTTCCTTGAGCATTGCAGTAACTTAATTAATGCTTTCCTTCTCCTGGTTCAGTATTTCTATTGATGTGTATCTCTTTCTAATAAAAGTCCATGTCTTTGAAATATGGATCAATTAAAACTAAAGTGGGGACAAGGCACTGTGCCCCTGCTTGAACAAGCTTGCAAGCAACACAGAGATTAGTACTGAAACTTATGACCTTCCTAGTCTAGAAAAATGCCTCTCCAAAATTCAAGGTTTTACAGCTCTTCTCTCCTTCCAGCCCACTTGAAGCAGGAGCAGCAGAGATTACTGCAGAATCAGTTTCTTTTCTGTTTTGTTTCTTGGAGGAATATTTTTAAGTCATCTAAATTCACCATCTGTCCCCATCCAACCTCCCATACATGGAAAATTTGGATGAGAAATTCTCTCTGAGAATGAGAAGCAAGTGTTGGCAGCAAGTCCTCTCCCTCACAGTGTCACAGTAGACACAAATGAATTCACACATACCCTGCTCTAAGTAGAACTTACACTGTGAGGTGTGCAATGCATGTGAATTGGCATTGGCACTGGCACATATACAGGTGGGCACAGTTACTATATGAAACTGAATTCTTCTCCTCTGCTAATCAAACATAAGCAGAGTGAGTCTTGATATTTTAGATGTGGCAAGGAGAATCCAGCCATTTTTCACAGTGAGAAAAACAGGCAGTGTCTATTAATATAAGAAGTCCTCCCTCTCTCTGTTTTCCTCCTTCACAATGTAAATAATTTGCTAAGAATTTATTCAAGCACAGGATAAACTGTCATTTCCACAACAGGGCAATGCCACAGCACTACCTAAAGTAGAGGAGTATTATCAAGTCCTGGAAAAAGAATGGCCAAAACTGCCTTTTAGGAGTCAAGAGATCAATAATCCTGGAAAGGGCAAAACTAAACAACTAGCCAAGATGGCTTCAGAGGTTAGGGTTGAGAGCTAACATGTCTTCTCAATCCAAGATCAGACTCTGGGAATTCAGCTCAGTAAAGTCAGCTTGCTTATGAGCTGCATCCTCAGCTATATCTAATATCACCATCCTGAGAGTCTGCAAATGGCTTGAGAGGAATCTTTAAACCTGTTAATGTAAGACTGTCTCTGGACACCCCTGTCCTTGTGGATCACTGCAATTCCATCAGTCATTTGCACTGCTGGTTTAGATTATGTAAGTAAACATGTCTGTCTGCCTTGCTCTTAACCTGGCTTGAGGTAAGGTCACTAGCTCACCAAGGTATTCCTCTCTCTCCATAGTCATACAGATTGTCTTAGGAGCTGATAGCACAAAGGACTTAAAGGAGGACATGTCTTCTGCTGGCCAACAGTAACAAAGAAAGTTTTCTTTATAATAGTGGGAATGGGGACTGCACATGAAGTCCAAGGTGGGGGAGAGATGATGTTCACACGCTAAGAGATGCACTTGGCAATGCCAACCCTGTAATGTCAGATAGCCAGACCTCGTAGGCCAGAGGGTGACAAGCAGCCTGAGCTCTGATCCTCTGCACTGCCAGCAGGAACCAACAGTATGGGAAATCTCCCGAGGCACACACCCCCATCCAGAGGGATCCTCCTAGAAAGCACACATTCAAATGCAGCCCATTGCCTCAGCCTCTCCCCATCACATGACTGAACACGATCCACATCACATCCTCCTGCATGACAGATGTAAGGGACCTGATATGTGGAATTTCACACAAAGAGATAGAGAAACTGAGAAGGTAACCCCACTTGGAAACTGAACTGCAGACTTTTGTGGAACAGAGACAAGAGGTGGTAAGACAACAGACAAACCCCTTGAAAGGGACCACAGTTTTTCTACAGCCCTGCTGAAGAATGGGAAGAAAAGGTGCCTACAGATTCACCACATTTCACTCCCATCCATTTTGTAATAGCAGAACAAGAACAAGGAGTGAATTCCCACTGGAGGATGAATTCTCTTCATCCCCAGAGCTGTCTTCCTCCAGAGTAGCCTAAGATGCTAGATACTGTGAAGCGCTTTGATACTCTGTCAGTCTGTGTGAGGAATAGAAGAAGATGGATGCTTCGAGGCACTGAAAGCAAAGCAGTTCTATTAAAAAAAAAAAAAAAGGAAAGAAAAAGGCAAGCACCAACAAAAAAACCCTAAAACAAATCAAATATTAAAAGGCTGGTGAGGAAGGAAAAAGAGATCAAAGAGGATAAATCTTAGTATGCTACTCTGTAGCAACACTGGAGTATAACACATGTTGTTGTAACCTCATGCGCTGTTTCTAAGAAATGCTCTTGAGTGAGGGCAGGGATTGCATTGCAGACGAACACAGGGGAAAGACCTGGCCACATATCAGTTCAGTCCTGGCACTTCCATCTATGCACTGATTCCTCATGGGAGCAGTTACAGAAGGTGTCAGGGGCCTCAGGGCCCTCCACCCACCTTTGGGAGCAGCATGATTAAAGGAAAGAGTATTTTCACAAAAATTACATTTGGGACATAAATAATATGTTCATGCTTGAAACAAGGTAAAAGTAAAGTTCACAGGCAGTTTTGGACACTTATGTAATGGGTTGTATCTAAGTTACATCTGCATGTGTTCTTTGTCCTGTGGTTAGTATATTAAAGAAAGAAACTAAAAATAAGCAGAATAACTAATATTCACCTATAGTCTTTCCTGAGAGTATTGAGTGCTTTCAACAGAGATCATCTGAAGAACAGGCGTTCCTCTAGGGTAAAGATTTTTTCCTGCATAAATTAAGATCAAAGAGAATTATTTTCCAAGTCTGCAAGGAGTCAGGCCTCATTCTGAAAAGGAAAACTAAAACAGGCTGTATGGGGGTAAAGGACTGCATTACAGTAGATGTGGTTCGTCTAGTTTTATTACGAATAACCTAAACAATTAAAAATTGGAAACAGTAATAAATTTTAGCTAAAATCTGATAAATTAAAAGGAATTATTAAAATGCATTTCTTTAAGAGGAAGCACTCAAGAAATCTCACTACGAATTTCTGCTTTTTAAGGTTAAAAACTTGTTCTCTTCACCTCACCATTGAAAAAGTCTAAATTACCTGGCGTTTCACAAGATAAATGGTCAATGGCATAAATTTACAATAGCATTTCAGTACCCCAATCAAATGGTTGTAGGCAAACATCTAATCTGTCTGCCAGACTTCATTCCACATGTGATGTAGGGAGTCTTGCATTTCAATTCAGAATAACTGTAAATATACAGGGCCAACAACCTTACATTGTCTTAAACCTTTGAGAAATTAGTAAAGGTTTTAATCTTTTACAGGAAACTTAAGGGAAAATATAAACAAAAGCCTCTTCTGCCCCTTTTCTCAGGGATAAATGCTTATCTTGACTTTTAAAGAATGAATAATTACTGTGTCTATAAGAGGTATATGGAATAAGGATCATATCTAGAAACCTTTCCATGGGTTTGACAGCACCAGCAATGGCAAAGCAATAGAAAGGTACATTTTAACAAGTTTATTCCTTCTGACAACATTTCTAAGCATGACTGTTCCCCACATTCTTTTCATAATCTATTCTTTATAGGGTTCCAACTTGCAGATACTGACAATCAAACATTTTCTAAAAGTTGTGAATCAAAGTAGCCAGCAAATGCTCGTCTTCCGCATCACAGTACAAAAGAAATTACTGTTGCTTTTCAGCTGTCCCTGTGTTGTTTTTCTGGACTGGACTGACTGTGTCAAACATGCAGAAACACCCAGGCTGGCTCCCTCCAGGTGCCACCCAATCCCAGCATGGTTTGTTAGGCCAGACACAGTGCTTTGGCTACGCTGTTTCTGAGGTGGCACTGGCAGTCCACCAGCTTTGTCATGGGCTCAAGCCAAGCTCGCAACCCTGGAGAGAGCTGGCAGCCAGCAGAGCCAGCTTGGGCTTTCCTGTGTTTCATTCCCAGGACTAGGTCACTCTCCTAGTGTGCATGGTGCAAGGATGTCTGAATGGCTTCTTCAGAGAGCCACTCTGCATCCATAAAACCATTGGTGCTGAATGAAAGGTAGTAAACCCAGCTGAACCCAGACTGGTTCAAGACTGTTATTGAGTAGTAACAGTCAAGAGCTGTTACTCTACACAGTAAATGGATCTTAAGAAAAACAGATTTTAAGTTTCTAAAAAGATGTAAGAATGCATTGGGAAACTTTGTAAATTAACTTTCGGAAAAAAATACAGTGCTTGATGCATGTGGAAACCTCCCACAATGACAGAAACAGAAGCTTTCATGAATTTCCCGAACTGACTTGAAATTTCCAACAAACAAGTATATAACTAACATAAGACATGAAACAATTCCCCTGTCATCATGGGCATGAACAAAATCATAGTCATGTGTTTAAAAGATCAATCAAGGCAAATACACATTTGTCATAACTTAGATTTAGAAGAATAATTTACAGTGACATCAATACTATTTGCATTGGTAGCTTACTTTCTAATATTCCAAACCCTTAAATTGGGACACTGTGGTGCTCCCCATTCAGCAAATGTTAAAACAGAAAACTTACAATGTGAGCTCTGAAATGCTGAGCTGTCACTACTGTTTGAAATTCTTAAGAAAAAACAAATATCAGGTCTTCTACTGCTCACCAGAGCTTCCTCTTATGGTTACACACTGAAACAGAGCTTTGCGAAAAGTTCTTTTCATCTCGAGACATCTGGACCCTCTCCAGATAGGATCATCTTTCTTGTCTGGGCTATAAAGCTATATTGCTGGAGATACTAATCCTTTAAGGTCTTGAGTGATTTGGTTTTCATTTTTGCAGAGCTCTATGGCACATTTAGGCCATTAACTGTTCAGCTTGCAGTCTGCATCTTAACAGAATGGAGAGAACTGTCTCAGAGATGAACATGAATTACTTGAATCACCAAAAATAAGAGATCTTCAGTGATGACCACCTCCCTTGCATTAAGCTAATTTCTGCATGAATTAGCAGATCTTTCTCTCTCAGACATGGAAAAAGAGAAAGATGAACACTTATTTAGGGTCAAACATCTATGGTATTCCTGAAAGTGAAGAGCAGAGATAGCAGAAGGCAGCATCTGTAGGAGAGAATGGTTAATGTATTTGTGAATACAAGAAAATCTTTGTTGTTCTCTGGGTGTCCATGCTGAGTGCACTTTCCTTGACCCTGTGTGCCAGACAGAGTTGGGGAATGAAACTTTCATCAAGTTGCAGGATTTGGTGTGTTGAATGTGTCCTGAACTAGATGTCATCTACAGTGAGGTTGAAGGCTGTATCATCAAGATCCCCAACAGTATCCAAATCCCATGGAAATTATTCACATGAGCTATTGAATTTGAGTCCTTACTGCCTGTACACAGTACACATGCCCCAGATAGTTTGAGGAATGGAGGCTGAAAGGCAAGCTTTCTTTCAAGTCAGAAATTCAGCCAAGTTCCTTCAGAAAAGTAAATTTACAAAGACAGTCACAGTGTTCACATATCTCAGTTGAGGCAGAAAAGTAAATACTTTGCTTTTCAGGAGAAGCTATTGCCTTGGGATCTGAGAGCACTGGGGGGGGAGGGGGTGAAAAAAGGAATAGATGTTTGCTTGCTGTGTAAAACACATTAATTGATTAATTAATGTCTATTCCTCATCATAAGCCCACCACAACAGCTGACTTTCATAGAACACTTCACTGACAGTTGTGCTTTAGCATCAAAATTAATGTGCTTCAGAAAAATAGGATATGGTATTACAAGCAAATACTGTCCTAAATAGACATTACGTAGCTTTTCAAGGTCTGCAATTTCCATGGATAGCAGCAGATGGTGCTGTCCTCCTTGCTGGAAGCCAACGCAAGCACTTGAGCATTGCTGAGCTAAATAACACCTTTGTACTACCAGCTTTACTGTGTTTCTTAACTGCTGTGCAGATTTTCAACTAATTGGATGAGGTCTTGCTGTAGATAAGGGTTGGGATGAACTTGAGCAAAAGCTTGGGCTGTTAGCTCACATCAAACAGTGCTGCTGTGCTTCACAGCTAGTGACAGTTGCACTATCATACTTTGCAGTTTTTAATAGCCATTATGGTATTCAGCGTGTCCCCATTCAAACAGAGGTGGAATTCAGAGAAGAGTAACTAAAGTGATTAGAGACCTGGGGGAGAGAACCGTCTCGATTAGACAGCCTAACCAAGCAGTGGCTACTGGGATGAAGACCAAATAACCATATGTAATTATCAGAAAAAAACAGGTTTACTACTGAGTCTCATTTCAAGGTAGCAGGAGAAGAAGGTATAACTGAGAAGAATGGGATTAACCTGAACAAAAGGACTTTGTTCTGGCAATATGGTGACTGTGTAAGGAGTAAAGAACTCATATCTCTCAGTGATGGGCTGAGTAAAGGCAGGGTGACAGATGGAAGAATAAGGGGAGAGCAGGTATCAGTGACTGTTTCATGGTTATGCTCATGTTTTATCTCTGCTTCTATTAGAAATATTTGAAAGAGCACAACCTACAACTCTGAGACTTTTTTAGGATTATTGATGACAATGGAAACATGAAGATTCCTGTGGCAGCCTTCTGGAAAGCCATGATACAGGTCTGCCTCTGAAAGCATGGCCAGAATCCTCTTCCGTCAGGGTACTGCTCTAGAACCCTTCTGCTGCAGCACAGCTGCCAGCCAGCCTTTCTGGTGACATTGTTCAGGCTAAAAGGCAAAATTCACTCATCACAGAGTTAAGCCTTGAAGGAGACCAACAGAAGTGTTGTGACACCCAATAAGTATTGCAGATGGCATCAGTGATAATGGACAGACATCCACTGTTTGTATGGGGTGTATAGGATATTGATAGATACTTATGTCTTACTACTATGCGAAAGTGGGGGAAAAAAGCATCTAAACCCTCACTTGCACAATGGAAAAGACAGTTCTCTTCCTGACAAAACCAGCATGGTGCTTGGGATCAGTAGCAACAGTCAGCCAGCCATGATGTTCTTTAAAAAAAAAAAAAAAAAAAAAAACAACACGCAAAAAGAAAAAAGAGCGAAATTGCCTCCTCACCACCATTCTGGATTTTTTGCATCCCTTCCACCATGCATCAGGCCCTCTGCTCACCTATTAAAAGATGGCCAGGCCCCAGATTGATATGGAGGATTTTTCTGCTTAAAATTACCCAGGTTTCCTAGCACTTCTCTTCTTCTCTTAGCAACAAATCATCCCACTGGATTGAGTCCAAATTGGGGAACTAGTGCACAATCTAGACCGGAATCAGACAGCAGTTGTGGATTATAGGTATGTGAACGACTCCATTTACTGTCCTGGTTTGTCTTTCTTATTTTAATTTGGCTCAACACTAAATAAATATAACCTTTTTCACCTTGGGATGTGAAGGGACATATGGTTTTGGCCATTCCATTACTTACCTAAGTAAAAGGTAGATGAAAAAACACCTTCTATGCTTAGAAGTTCTGTTGAATCAAACTAGAAGTTAGTCTTATTTTCCTATTTGATAAACTTGCTGTGAGGGTGCAGAGATCTCAGAGCTGAATGGCATTTTCATTCATTCTTGTTAGCCTGTGTGAGAAGCATCAGCTCAACATTGTCTTCCCCCTGAAGCCAGGGTAAGATTTGCAACAACAGCATATCTGTGCCTTCAGAACTTTTCCTCTATCTTCAGGGACTCTTGTGTTTTTTACTGCTCTCTGATCCCTCTTCTTAGGAGACCTAGTTTTCCCTGGAAACTTGCCTTCAAACTACAGAACTTTTCATTCTCTTGAAAGTGCCTCTTCTTAGTGCCTGTAGCAATCGTGTCCAAGTTCTGAGAGCCTGAGCATTCAGCAGCAAACTCCTCAGAGGCTGTCAGTCGCTGCAGGCTAAACTGCTTGTCATTGGACCCAAAATTCCCCCTAGATTTTCAGTCAATTGTGACATATGACTCATCAGCTGAAAGCCCTGTTAATCGTGCCCAAATATTCCCATCCTCAGCACATACTAATGGGTTTAAGTATATGCTGTAGTCTAGTTTTAAGGCTAGAAGCAATGGGTCAGTTTTGCTCTTAGTCTCCTAATGTTTTCAGAGACAAGCAAATTATTCTGTTGCATTTGGTCTTTATTCCTTTGCATATATCAGTGCCATACCAAAAGCACCCATGCTCAGGTGCTAGATGTGCCTTAGACCGGTTAATCTTCAATCAGAGGTTACATGGAGTTCCCAAGTACTTCAGGCACAACTTACACAACTGTGGCTAAGCAGTAAGCAGATGAAACTGTTGAAATCCAATGGCTGGCAAAGACTTCATCTGGTGCCATTAATGTGGCTGAGTTGATATATGGGAAAAAGCAGATATTGCTTATCTAGCTTCTTGATGCATTTTAGCACTGTAGTATGTGTGAAGTGGTAATATTCACCTTGCGGAAAAGAGTCAGATTTGTGACCTTTGCTGTCCTTACTGTTCCCACCTCAGGCTGTTTCTTCAAGATCCTCTCAGCAGCTTTAAGATACCTGACAGAGAAGGTTCACTTCACTAGATTAATACTGGTTTATCTCCTTCTTTTCCATCAGTCACATAGAAAAGCAGAAGCCAGCACAGAAGTTTGTGGAAGGGGAAATCAAGGAGGAAAAAAAGGAAAAGCCATAAAAATGAAGCAAGGAGGAAGGTCAGACAATGCAAGATTGTGTGAGAACCACTGAAAGAAAGCTCAGAGTAGCTCTGGCCTTGGGGAGGCCCAACACTGGAGAGTCTAGGTTATTGCATGTAGAAATAAAGTTAATGTTCCACTACACTGCAGGTCCCTATAGAGTCTGGTCCTTTTCTGTTAAAGAAAGACTGGTTCTTTGGACCTGGTCACCAAATCTATCTTGCTCTGTGTGCTGACAGTGATGAACTTACTTGCAAAGATGAAGGCAAAAAATGGGAAATGGGAAACTACAACACACACATATTGTCTCCTTTTGAGGTAATGCACACAGACGAAGACTGAAGCAAGGGCCCTGCAGTCATCTCCTACCAGCTTAGGACATCTGACACAGGGACCTTTGTAAGAGAAGAAAAAAAACTTCATGAGAAACTATAGCTCGTATTGCTTAAAAAGTTATGGGTGATAGAAATTTTATTTAATATCCCCATGGGAAAAAATATGCTAGAAAGATGGAAAACATAACAGATTTTTAAATGGCTTAGATAGTGATCTTTTTTTAAATCCACATTAAAAGATATATTTCAATAGCTCTTAAGAAGGAATTAAAGCCTTGCATATATTAATATTTATAAAAAAATACAATCTCTAAAATGTAAATATGTACAGGAAGTACATTTTGCCACATGAGCAACTGCCAACATAGAGTATAAACCAAGGACCTTGGAGAACTGGGGAACGTTGGCCATTTTGGGAAGATCAGCCTTCTGTGAAAAGGAAAAGAAGCTAGTTGCAACCTGGTAAGTCTCTGTTTCCCAGTGGAATTCCTATGTGGAAAAAAACCTTTGAAATATCTTGAAAATCTTTGGTAAGAGTTCACATGGCTCCAGTGCCTAATCAGAGGTCAAGATGACTGTTGACATGATGGTATTGGTATGTCTGCTCAGTAGTCACCTTCAGAAGGCTTCAGCTCATTACCCCAGGAAGTCTATGTCCCAGCTGTGTCCCCTCCCTCACCAGTGTAGCAGTACAAGAAGTAGAAAAGGCCTTGACTCTGAGCAAGTCCTGCTCAGCAATAACAAAAACATCTCAATATTATCAACCCTGTGTTCAGCACAAATCCAAAACACAGCCCCGTGCTAGCCACTGTAAAGAAAATTAACTCTACCCCAGCCCAAGCCAGCATAGAAGCGTACACCAAACCTGCAGGACCTTACTGCTGATCAGTGGGGCTCGGAGAGGGCAGGAGAGCGGCCGGTGCCCATTACTGTACAATTCGAGCTCACTCCCTGCTAAGAACACCCACTGACCCCGCGCTCAGCGGGAGCACAGTCCCGGGGCTCGGCGTCGCCGCCAGGTGTCAGCGCAGCCCCGGCGGTGCCGCGCCGGCCCTGCTCGCCCCGGGCCCCGCACACCGCGGCACGACGGCCTCCGCGGAGCCGCTCTGCGTGGGGTCAGCGAATGGCCTGGGTTGGAAGCCACCTTAAACATCATCATCTAGTTTCTGTCCAGTGCCTCATCACCCTCAGAGTAAAGAATTTTTTACTAATATCTAATCTAAACCTATTCTCTCGTGGTTTGAAACCCTTCCCTCCTTGTCCATGTCACTTATAAAAAGTCCCTCTCCAGCTTTCCTGTAGGCGCGCTTCAGGGTACTGGAAGGCCACAATTAAGTCATCCCGAAGCCTTCTCTTCTCCAGACTGAACAAACGCAATTCTCTCAGCCTTTCCTCATAGGAAAGGTGCTCCATCCCTCTAATCAACTTGATGGCTTCCTCTGGACTTGCGCCAACAGGTCTATGTCCTTCCTGTGCTGTGGACCCCAGAGCTGGATGCAGTTCTCCAGGTGGGGTCTCACAAGAGCTGCTCGTTCCATAACTACTTCATTGCTGCTTTCCTGTGAAGAACCACCAGAAGGGGCATAATTTTAACTGTTGTACAACATTCCTCCAGCATCCTGCTCCTGAGACTGGTAGATCCGTAAGCAGTGGCTGTGACATGTTTTATGCTGGACTCATATGTGGTTGAGGGACTGGAGATACCTGACAACTGGTACCTACAACTGTGTGTACCAACTCTGACGTGGCTTGTTGGTCCACATGTGCCATATGTACAGAGAGGTGTCACTGCTGCAGGACAGTACTCTTGGACCCACTGAACTTACTACACCTGATCCACAGACCTGAGTGTAGATACTCAGCATTTCTGGAGGGGGCTGTTGTTCAAAACACATAATCTTCTAGGATGTTCTTCAGTGGCTCCAAGTCTGTTGACACAGCATCCACCATTCCCTGGCTGTGCCAATGTAAAATACCTATGCCTTTCTCTCCCTTTCAGCCCCAAGAAATCGTTTTTGAGTCCCTTTTTTTTTAGCTTAGGAGTCATAAAATGAAATACCAACATATGCAGGCTCAGAATTAAGGCCAGGGAGCTGGGAACACCTAATGATTTTATATTTTGCACAAAAAAAAAAAAAGTAGGGTTTTTTTTTTCATGATCTGCAACTATTGTTACATAACAGAGAACAAGAATAACAGTATTCCAGATTTTCATTTAAAATGAGGCTCTTGGCTTATCAGCAGGCACATACTCTATGGTCAGTTAAGCTGGATCAGAGGTGAGAAGTTTCCAGACCGGAACAAGAAGGAACAGAGAACAATGGGATCTTGGGGTACCTGATGGCAGAGAGTAAAGATCCTGCTTCACTGTCCCTATGGCACTTTTGTTCTGCAGAAAAGGGTGCACTCTGGAGTAGAGGAGTAGCACATGTATATACTGTTCCATATCTTTGTCTTTTCTTCCCACAGTGTCTTGGGTTTGTGCTGCGTATGTTACACATGCATCTTTATCTCATGCAGAGTGCTGTTGTGTATTAGTCACGCATTATTGTTCAACTTTGGTTTGCACAGAATCAGATGTCCAACTAAACTAATTTGTCCAATTATCGCCCTTAAGTTTCTAGATTAGCTACAGCCATCAAAAATCTTCTGTAAGAAAACAACATAATCAAATAGAGATGGGAACTGGCCTGCGGCAGGTGTGGTTTTTATTTATTTGAGTGTCCACTTCAACTCCAGACTCTACAAAGATGTGGCAGCTAGGTGGTACCTTTACATCAGGAAAAACTTGCAGGGAGATTTGATGGTTTCTTTCAGCTAAAGAGTTGGAGCCCAAATTTCTATTCCAGGAAGACTTGATAAATAAAAATGATTTATTTTCTGAAAACAAAATCAAAAGATAATGGATCTCTGGGAAGGTACTAGATGCAACCTTCTGTCTTACTATGTGATCTGATGCAACTAAAATACTAGCAAAAAATTGAGAGTGTTAGTGAAAATTTTAGTTATATGCAAGCAGTGTGGTGGAGGGGTGTAGTTGCAGTTTGTATTGTGCAGAATCTCTCTGAGCATTCTCAGATCAATAAAGCTTTTTCAAGCTTGGGGGCAGCATTTGTCCCCTTGCTGAGAATTCAGGGATAAACTGTGGTAGACACCGAGCAGGGGCGGTCAGGAAGTGGAACATGAATTTCTCTGCTGATCCTGCACCTGTGAAATGGCGCAGAAGGAAATGGTTTGGGTAGCATAAATTAAGGCAGCTCTGAGACTCATCTAACATACCTCAGGAATTCAGCCTGCCAGCACAAAATTAAGACAGTGCAGAAAGCTGGCTAAACACTATCTCTGTATCTTTCTTAGCTCATGAGAGTGACACAGCCAAGTGACATTGTCAGAACTCTTCAATATTAGAAAGAAAACACTGTCTAAGTAATGTGTTTTGAAAACATAGCATGCACACCAGAGTATTTAATGTGTTAGCTAGTTTAGATGAACCTTTGGATCTTTTGCAAGGGAAATCATCTTATTGTAATGGATCCCATCCAGCAGAATGAGACACAGTTCAGACTAATTTCCTAGGCACCACCACAACATTTAGGACAACATATCATTGCATTATAAAGACATCACTAATCAGACTCTGTGGAAATCTCAGAGTAAGTATAAAGACTAATGTTAGATGCCAAACTATCTCAGCTTGTTCACATTGAAGATCTTTGATCTGTCTAGCTGAACTGACCTACAGGTTTTTGGCTTTATTTTCAAAGGAGAAATCTCACGGGCTGCTGAAGTGGGTACAGTGATACTAGTCTTCCTCTTTTAGATCAATAGTTCATTGTTCCAGTGGCCTCCCATCCATATAATGATATATCACAACGTGTCCAGTGTATATCAGTGGACATGCGCCTTATGCAAAGGGGCATCTGCAGCCATGAATGAAATAATGCATCATGAGACTGGGAGCATGCCATGTACAAGGTACTGGTCAGTGCAACGGGGATGCTTAAGTCTCTTACCTAAATCTGTCACAGTAATGTTAGAGAATCTGAAGAGATGATGGAGTGAAAATTTGCAAGGACAAAATTTAATTTTTTCATCATGAAGCAGCAGATTTGAGTCAATTGACTGGTGATAATGGTTTTTATAAGCCACTGGAAAAGGTCAAGATCATAATGGACACTTCAGTTCCTGAAGATTTATGTTATAGTTGTTCTTTTCTTCTTAAGTGGGTGTGTCCTTATCTATCAACAATACTGAAGCTCTTTCATAGTTTCTTAATCCAGAGAGCCCAGCCAAAGGATTGCATTCTGAATTTGGCCTACCAGAAAATGCAATCAATCCATAGTTTGTTCCTTGCCACTCTCTTTGTTGTAGGCTGCTGAGATGGCAGTCAGACACATGTCACAGACTGGACAGATTGTTCTGGTAGCCTTGTCTCTTCCAGACACTTCATGAAGACCTTAGTTACTCCACTGACTTGCTATTAGCTGTGCATCTCTCAAGGGACAAATACACCAGCTTTCACAGCCTCATGGGAAGGGGGTATCATATTACAGGAGGACGATAAAATAATGTCTTGCTGTGTAACTTTATTCTCTGGATCCTCCTTTCAGGAAACTGAGTATGTGCATTCCTTTATGGTCTGTTTGCATTTGGGGCTACAGGAT